TCTTGAACTCTCCGTTATGCTATGAGGTTCATCTGCGTTGTTGCTCGTAGCTGTAAAGCATTCAAGACTCTCCAGTGTCCTATTCTGCAAATACCGCGGAATGCATTTCTTATTCTACGGCTGATAGACTGTTCTGTTGAGCCGAGGGTGTTCATGTTTGGCTTTAGTAGACTTTGCGTAGCGAAAATTTTTCGAAGTAAATAGTCATACAATTTTACACTCAAACCAGAAACACCACAAGTTCCAACTGTTCCCCGTCCTTAAGGGAACTTGATGTCTGCCTTCGATGCAGTAGTTCCGGCACGTGTGAAGTGAGGCTGCACTGATTTAAACTTGCACTGGCCTGATTCCTAGGGAAGTAGAAGGCTACTTCTTACGTTTTGTTTTTAAATGTGGAGATTTGCCTTTAAATATCTTTGACCATCTATTATCTCAAATATGGCCAACGTCACCTTTCTAACATTCTTCATGCTAGTTAACAAGCCACCATTTTCCTTGAGAAAATATTTTCCTGGGATCCTTTATGCTAGTGACAAAACCTCCAGGTGTTGATGGGAGATAAGAGGGAGCAGAAGCACTTGCACTTGCAGCCTTCTGGAAAAAACACTCTCTGATCAGCTGTCCATCCCTGGAGGAGATACTCCTGATTGACACAGCCGTTCCATCCTTCAGGTACTGCTTACAACCAACGTACCCTACATGTAGTATCATTGCCGAGGCTAAAGTACTCTCAGGTAAGAGACAGATTTCGCAATATGGCGCCTAAGCCTTCTTTCTACCCCATCTCTGCCACCGCAAGTGTTATGACAACACATGTTACGTGGCTTGGTCATCTTATCACCCGGGGATCTTTAGGCTGCAGCTATCATAGCACTTGACTCTGTTCAGGTAGAAGAAGATGGAGAAGGGGCAATGTGCCCATTGATTCCATGAGAAATCTGTTGGACGGGCAGGTTCTCAATTCAAGGGCACAGCCACCCAAACAGGCTTCCCCAAATCAGCTCTGGAACCATCTGAGCCCTGCCAGGAACCTGGTTTGAGGCTTCCTGGAAACAGCACCTGGCTTTCTCTTCTGAAACGTGGCCAGGGGTGGGGAGAGAGGTTCCAAACCAGAGATGCTGACCAGCAATTGACTTCTTTTATAGCTTCCATGGGATTTGTGGAGTATACAGATTTGGGAGGATGAGCTCCCTCATCTCCCAGACTTTGGAGCTCTCTCTTCTGGGCCACTAGGCAAGGGAGATGTAGGATGGTCAGATTTCATTCAGTGAAATGCTTGGAGAGGTCTTCTGACCCTCCTAGAACAGACCCTTTTATTTCTCCCGACTTTTATTTAAGTCAGACAAGCTGGCAAGATGTTTGGGTTTCCTTGGTCACTTACCTAGACACTTGCCTGAATCAGCAAGGAAACTGTGTGATATGTACAACTTTCCTGTTGTTTGGGGTGGGTCTGGAGGTCCACGCTACATCTCCAGGCAGGCGGGAGACATTACTGAGGGGAGACTGAGAGTACCTTCGGGATGACTGCCCACAGTCACTGGCGGGCTTATGAGAAAGCGGTTTTGAGGGCTGAAAAGGTGATGGGTCGGCCATTCCTTCACCTGAGGATGACAAATAATAAAACTGCAATCATGTCCACAACTCGTACGGAAGACAAAGTTGTGATGAATTGAAATTTGTGGTGTACTCAACAGGGTACTCAAATATTCTTGAAAAATCTGTGCTGGAGAAAGAAGAAGGGGAGCCTTGCAGAACTGGCAATGTGACAGGAGAACGGAGCCCCAGAGCGAAGGAGGAGGCGGAGAGCCCAGGAACTGCCATGATGGCCGTGCAGCGGAGGTGGGCACGAGCTAATGCTCAGAGCCTTAGTGGTCAATCGTGTGCTCCAGGCCCAGCCTGCAAGGGGCTCCCAGTCCAGGAGGAGTTTCTTGGGACTCCAAAGACCTGGAGCTCTGAACGGCCAGTCAGAACCCGAGTCCTGACGAGGCTTGCATGGGCATTTGGCTTCAAGGAGATTCAGCTTTTGTTTCTCTAGAAAGACAAGAATGTGGGTGCTTCCTGCTTTGCTTGCCCATCTTCCAAGACTCCCAGGCAGACGGGATGGTTTCACTCCATGCCCAGACAGCCCAGAGCCACGTCTGATCTACTCAGGCCCCTTCCATCCCTGCAGTGGCAGTCCCAGAAGCTTCGAGGCCAGGCTGGGGTGAGCCAATACGGTCATGTGCCTCCTTCACCCATCTCTCAAGGGCAAGGGCAAAGCTGAAACCACGTCTAGGTTTTAGAATTTGGAATCTCAAGCATACGCAGGGCACAAAGGTTCAATGGTGTCACCCTGCTCCTCACAGAGGAGATAAAAACACATACTGGAGCCCAGAAATATGATTTAACGCCATTGTATTTATTAGGTTCTGAAACAATACACATTCACATCCTTTTGAATACAGTACATTTGGCACAATAATGTTTACAATGAAATAACACTAATGAATGGCAAGAGATTAAAATTACATCCAGAAAAGAAAAAAAAATGTACAAATAAAGCATCACAATACAAAAAAACCCCTAAAATTGAATACATTTTATATTTAGCCAGAATTATTTTGCACATAATTTAAAAAGAGGTAATTTTTTAGCCTTTTTTTTAAAGCAAGAATGCAATTTTTTTTCACCTTTGGAGGAAAAAAAAATGATGTATCCACTTCACAAAGTCCATAATGAGAGAACACAGGAGAACAGCTATCCTTCATATATTTTTTGGGCTTTTTTTTTTTTTCCCACTCAAGAGCTGGATAGATTAGAAAGAAATGTAACCGTGTGTCCACTTCCTAATCCTTGTGAAAACTGAAAGGAAACAGAGAATGCTCAAGGAACACACAAGCTTTTTTTCTATAGACGACATGTGGGATTTGAACCTGCCCATGTTGAGAACTTGGTCAGCTCCGGCCCCAAGCAGGGGGCGTCCCAGCCAGCGGAGCTCTGGGGCGGAAAGGGGGCGTCTCTGGGCCAGGCACCCCGCGAATGACTGCCTGGAGCTGCCAGGTGGAATGTATTGTTTGACCTTCCAGCAAAAATGCCAGCTGTCCTGTGGGAAGGGCCCCAGCCCTGCTGAGAAGGGAACACCACCGAGGCCTTGGTGTAGGCCACTTGGCATTGCAGTTAGAGCTTGCTTGGCCGTTCCAAGTTCATCGTGGTGAAGGAAGCAGAGGAAAAACAGAGCAGTAGTGATGCAAGAGTATGATGGGCAGTATTGTCATGTCTTCTTAAAAAAATGAGATGATGCCACCATGAAGATGTTTCTGTGCTTGTACTCAACTCCAGACGATAGTCTCTCCCCAGTATGTCAAGTTACCGAAGATAAATTAAGTTAATCTACTGTTCCTCATCACTGCACTGGTATGCCAAACACACAAATTGATAGAGTATAGTATTTGAAATTATCGTAAGAACAGATAATAATTACACCTGAGTTTTTGAAAAAGTAAAAACGAAAGAGAACTCAAGGTCATCGTTAGTAACAAAGGCTATGACGGCCAGATGCAAAGATGGACACTAACTCCCTAGGGGCTCAAGCTAGTCACCGTCCATGCTCTGAAACCACCATCAAAACAGTTCCTTTCCCTTCCCCTTCTCTATCCAGGCATAATAGAGCATGGGAGCACGATATGTGAGACTTAATATAGCTTAATGTATGTTTACATCTTTTTGAAATAAACCAAAATGAAATAAACGACACAAAGGACTCCTCCCCGCCCTCAAGAAAGAAACACCTTATCTCTCGGTAACTTGAACCAATATGCTTACAGAATATTGCACCTGGACATTATTATAATTATTCTTTCATAGACTAAAGTTTTATAATATGCCTGAACATGCAGCAGTTGAATACCTCTAAATTCAATGAATTAATTCCACAGGCCTTGCAGCAAACACTATATACAAAAATCTCAAATGTACAAAAGGCAAAAAGCTTCATTAGTGCCACTTTGCCACTCACAAGTATACATATTAAGGGGCAGTGGGGAAATCCACGTGCAACAGCTGGAATGGATTCCATTCCCTGCGAAATCAGTTCAGTAAAAGGGATATAATCAAGTGACCGCCGGGAAACGGGTACACAAAGCCACGAGAACCCTTGGAAATCGAAGAACGTAACACTGTTAGCAATTATCTACAGGAGGTAACATCGCATCCGTGAAATCGGGTCCGTGCGAGTCGCCCCGGCACGGCATGCGGGTGTCAGTTTGCAAACAAGTCACTCGTCCGTCTCTGGATACCCTCCGCGTGACCCCTGTTTAGCCTCCCTCTGCTGGCCTCAAGAGCAGAGGTTTCATATTTCACTTTACACGTGTAATGTCTAAAGACCACGACACAGTAGTACTACCATTTTCGCAGAGGTGCGCAAAAAAGGAACACGCCGTTGCAGGAAATAAATAGTGTGTGTGCTGGGAGCTTAGAACGAAACCGGAAAGAGAGTTTGGGAGTGAGCTTGACTAGAACCTCAGGGGCTGGGCCGTGACCGTGGCGGCCTCTGTGTTCAAGCAGAACTGGAAGAATGAGGAGCGCTACTTGTTTCCTTCCCTCTCCATTCCTCCAGCCCCCATGCGCCACGAGAGCCGGCACGGCGTCAACCTTGGACCTTGGATGGCTGGTTTCTCATTGTGTATTAGCCCTTTAATAGCTACCTGCGTTAATATTGGAATTTATAACTTTTGGCCAGTTGGACAGCCAATTTGCTAATATGTTTTTCAAATGTTACTTGAGTTCAAAAATCAAATTTCTTTTTCTACAAAGAGGGATTCCTTGCACGAGATACATGGCCTCACAATGTCGGCATGCACCAAAGCTAAAACCAAAGCAAGCCAGAATGAGCCATTCCAGAGCAAACCAACCCGGGGAGCCCACCCCTGCATCCGGCCGGCTGTCTCCTTCACATCACGCCCCGAGGGCGCCCCCCCCCCACCCCGGGGCCAGAGAAGCACCCGTCTCTCCTGGACAGAAGGGCAGAGGGTGGCAGGTGCAGGGGGAAGAGGGGCTGAGAGGTGACAGTCTTCGGGACCCTCTGTCTAACAGCAGAGCCGGGGGCTTCTTGTTTGCTCTTCTCGCTGCTCTTTGAAGGGAAAGAACTGAAGTTGCGTCACTGCCAAGAGCCCCCGAGGAGGGGAGACAGGCTTGCTGACAGACCAAACACGGCCCACCGAAACCACGAGATTCTGCATGACTGATGAGACAAGGACTGGGAGTGCCTTCTGGTCCCCAGGGAGATGAGGGGGGGAGCGGCCTGGGGTAAGGGAATGCAATAAATAGAGGGTAGATGAGGGACTGAGGCTCTGGAGAACAGGAGAAGCAGTTCAAGGCCTTGGAGCCTCCCGCATAGGACTTCTCGGCACCCCTTCCTGCAGCATCACCAAACTCGCCCTGGAGCAGCTTCTCAAGGCATCAGGTCTTCACCAAAGTAGGAGAAGCCTTTAAATTCCTCCTGGTTGATCTGCTTCACAATGGCTTCGTCCACAAGCGTGAGTACTGGCTCTTCCCGGGTAAAGTCTTGGTCAAAGTTATTGACGTCTCTTTTGGTTTTCTGCGAGAAGAAAAGAGAAAGCACTGACTCCAGGCTGAGCTTCCTCCCCAGGGCCCCCCGTGGGGAGTGGGCATTACACTGACCAGCCTCTTGCCAAAGCAGGCTGCGAGCTCCCGAGAGCAGACCCAGGGCTGCTCCGATGAGTTCACAATGGATGGCCCCAGGACCAGGAGGTGGCAGAGGACTTGGAGAGGAAGAATGAGTCCACGTGAGAGGGAGGAGGGGGTGAGAGGGGATGACGGAAAAGCAGGGAAGTGGGATTCCCACAGACTGTTGTGTAGGGGTAGGGTATGTGTGTCTGGGAGAGGGGGATGCAGAGTTCTCATCTCATACCTCCCCTCCTAGACTATCCCTCTGGCTCGATCAAGACCTCTATCCCTGTGATCCCAGGAAAAGACTCCAATCTCCTTCCCACAGAGTCTGCAGTGGTCTTTCTTCTCTAAAGGTAGACCTCCTTAACCTTGCCAGGTCTGCTCCATAAGACATCCTCTCTCTAAGTAGGAGAATGAGTGGGGGTTGGGGAGGTGGGCATCTTCTGGGAAGCCGGCCTCCATCTCTATGTGTACCCACTAAGAGCCTTATTATGCACTCCTGCATTATTTCCACGATTACACTCAATGTGCTGACTTGCAATGAGTTGTGTGTGGGTGTCTTGACCCAGAGCTCCTTAAAGGCAGGGGTCTTGTCTTCTCCAGCCTTGGGTTCCCTACAGGAAGCATCTGCCGAATGATGGGAAAAAACCCATCACTGACTCCCCAGCTCAGAAGGACCCATTCCTGGGGGAGGATCAGGTTCCCAAAGTAGGGCTTATTGGTCTATGGGGGAGAGGAGGAGGGCAGCAATCAAATCCTGGTTTGAGAAAAAAATCTGCAAGTGTAAATCACACTCTCTGCCTCTTGGGACTTCCAGTTGATTTGGGAGCCAATATTCCTGTCTTGAACACACACTGCAAGAGTTAGAACAACTTCCATGGAGAAGGTGGGACTTGGCTGGGACTGGAAGAAGGAGTTACAATCGCATCGGTAGAGATGGGCACAAGTCACCTTGGCAGGGAGAGAGATGGGGCAAAGGTGGGGGGTGTGGGGTGGGAACACAGAGGACGGAGAATGGGCCGATGGGTTCACCAAGCTGCCGGGGGTAGAATCCAGCATGGGGATGGAGGCAAGGAGGGCGAGTCCAACTGCGGGGGTCTTCACCACTGGCCCCACTCCCCTGGAACACACGGCATGATGCCCAGGAGCTTAAAGGAGCTCCTGCCATACTCTTCTAGGCACTGACTGCCTGCTGTTACCCAGGATTCGTGACCTGGATGATGGAATGGATCTTGTGGAAAGATTAGCATTATTATTTGTAGGAGGAATAATTTTTTTTTTTTTTAGATTTTATTTATTTATTTGACAGAGACCACAAGTAGGAAGGGAGGCAGGCAGAGAGAGAGAGGAGGAAACAGGCTCCCTGCTGAGCAGAGAGCCCTATGCGGGGCTTGATCCCAGGACTCTGGGATCATGACCTGAGCTGAAGGCAGAGGCTTTAACCCACTGAGCCACCCAGGCGCCCCTTTTTTTTTTTTTTTTTTTTTTAGATTTTATTGTAGGAGGAATAATATTAATACAGGCTTTGTTCTGTGGAAACTAGTGACCTGAAAGACGTTAATAAGTAGTCTGTGAAAGAAGGGGCTTTGAGACAAAGCTATTTTTGCACTCAGCTCTTGGAGGTTTGCCACGTACACTGGAGGATTAAAGGTTCTGAGACCTCCTAGGGTCAAGAAACCAGGTTCAGTGCGTTTAGGACAGGCTTCTTCAAACTTGACATGAAACATTTTTTCTTTCCTGAATAGCTTCTCAAGACCTCCCTCAGGAGGAGAGTTCTTCAACACAGTTTGGAAAAGGCGGCTTTACAATTTACGAAGCAAAGCACCTTCCCATTCATTTCCTTATTTGATCCTTGGAATAGGCAGGTACTGTTATCCTGATTTTACAGATGAACAAAGTGGGGCTCAAAGAGATCTGCTGACTCCACCAGGGTCACTAGTTAGGAGAAGAGTCCGAGTCAGATCTGGGTCTCTGCGTGATGCTGTGTTCGTGGAGCGTCTGGAGAGCTAGACCCTGCAGACACGGAAAGATGGAGCAAGGATCGAAGCCCACCAGGAGACACTGAGGCCAGGTTGCTGGGCTACAATGGCACCAGAAGGGGTGGCCAGTGGGCAAGCACGGCAGGGGAGGCTGTAGGTTGGGGTGAGAGTGGGTAACTTGGAGGGGGAGCATGTTTGCAGATCACCCCAGGCTGAGATCAGAATCAGGAGAACCGCACTGAGCAGGGGGGAGTGAAGCTTTCAGCACCCATCAGTCCTGCTTGGGGTCTTTCTCTGGGCTTGAGCTGCATAGTTCAGTCAGTCCCAGATACCTTAGAGGGAAGACAGAAGGGAGATACAGAAAACCCAAGGGATGGAAACAGGACCTGCTACTGAAGGATGTGGGTGTTGCCCTTGAGATGGGGAAGCCAAGATGTGGCTCAGCTGCCTCTACCAGGAGGGGCTGGCTCCTGGGCAGGAGGCCGATGCAGTCTCCACCTCCAGTGTGTATACTACAAGCGGAAAGGAAAGGGCGGCCCCGTGAGGACAGGAACTTTGGAGAGGAATACCGAGCCCGTCTCCACAGTGACGGGGTGGGTCAGTGCCTGGGTCAAGGGTGCGAAGATGCCTCTTCTGAAAGTCTCTGTCCAAGGTGGGATGGATTCACTTGGATTGAGGAAGGGGTTGCCAAGCATGGGCCTGCTGGGCCGGGTAAAATGAGTTTAGAAGGAGGAACAGGGCGGGGAGGAGTAACTTGGGAAGCACTGAGCACCATCCCAGAAGATGACCAAGAGATGTCCTCGATGGGGAGCAGGAGGGATGGAGAGTGGCAGAAGGGGTAGTAGAAGAAGAGAGTGGCAGAAGGGGTGGTGTGAAGACGGGTGAAGAAGAGAGGCAAGGAAGAGGGCAGGAGGAAAACTTCTTCTGTAACATGGCCAAGCGTGGGCCGTGCCTGGGTTTCCAGTAGCTACGGAAGCAGGGACCCCTCTTTCCTGGCTCCCTCTCACTGGGCACACCCGAGGGGGAGCATATGTGTACAGAGAAGCTTGGGAAATCTGGAACTGCTCTGGCCCAGACCCTCCCTGTGTAGCTACTGCTTGTGCTTTCCCTTTCAGACCTGAGTGGCCATTAGTCATGGAAACTTATTTCAGTTCCCGAGGTCAGCCGAGCGTGGTGATGGAGCTCAATTCCACAGGCCATCTGAGAGTCGTCCTTCGCTGATTGTGGACCAGGGACCCGGGGTCAGTCAGCATAGCTAGGGATGTTCTTCCCAGAGGATCTTTAGCTCCATTTCATGCTAGTCTGGGGAGCCATCTAGCCTGGCTCTGGGCTTTCCAGAGGTCACAGAATCCTCGGTAGCATGTGAGTGACTGTGCCATTCTTCAAGAGCTCTAGAGAAAAATACACTTGCCTCACTCGCCCCCTTATGCAACCTGGCCCAGGCCCTTCCAGATCCTTAGAAGCATTTTAGGTGCATGTCAGTTACTCATCTCCAATTCAAAAAGCCAACACTCCCACTTTGTGTAATTCCTATTAACCTTAGACACTGGAGAAGTTTTCTAAAGCAGGCATGTCTGGGAAATACCACCCCCTATTAATAGCCTGGAGACAGCAGGCATAGTATCCGCCTATTTGAAAACGATTGGGGATTGTATCTTTACTCACTGATTTTATTCTTTGAAAAGCTGCTTCCTCCTCTCAGCAAGCACAAGACTCAACTCCAAGGTTCAGATGGGCAAACCCACAGAGACACTCCCTGTTTACCTAGACCCTTGGTCATCCCATACGCCTCTCCTAAAATCTCCATGTCAGACTCAGCCCACACTGTGGAATCTAAGAGGTGATGCTGGGACCTCTTCAGACCTTATCTCCTCCACAAAGCCCTCCCCACATCCCTGCCCCCCACTCATGGGGGCAACATGGAGTAGGAGAGCGCGAGCACTGGCTGACCTCTTATCCTGGGCCTGGTGCTTCCTGATTATATGATACAGTGTGAAGTCACTCTTTGTGACTTAGTCTTCTCATCTGTAAAATGGAGATAGTAACAGGCACTCCATAGGTTACGTTGAGGACTCAATGGGATGTCAGATGTTAGGCGCCTCGGTATAGATCCCAACATATAATGGGCACCCAGTAAATGTGCCCTCCACGTCTGGGCAACTGTGTGCCATGGCACATTGTGTGCAGTGTGGCAGTTACCCACATGGTCTGTGTGATCTGCCACTGATGCCACAGGCTTCTTGCAGGGACCGAGACTTACATTTCTCTGTAGGCCTCCAAATACCGAGCCAGTGCAGAGCCAGGGTCTGCCTGAACCTTCCAGGGCTTTCTCTGGAGAGTGAGATTCTTCCAATGGCACTGGGTAGCTCTTGGGAAAAGCCCCAGGGTCTTATAGGCCTCTATTTCTAAGACCCTTCAGGGTCTCATCCCCACCTAGCTGCCAACTTCTGGGCCCTGCTGCCCCCTGAGGTTCTCTGGACTTACCGGCCTCCCTCGACTCTAAGCCTTTGCACAGCTAATCCTCGGCCTGGAACCCCCCTCTCATTCCCGCCTTCTGCCTGCACGTCCTCATCACCCAGCTGGGTTTCTTGCCTTGCCCATCCCAACTTAGACGCCCCTCCTTCAAGCAGCCTTCCTGTCTTTCCATGCCTCTGAGGAGTGCCCCGTCAACTACCCTAACCCATCACAGCACGAATCACATGTATCCTCCTCCTTTCGACTCATCTGTGAGCTCTGGGCACAAGGACTGCGTTGAACTCTCATTCTGTCCGAAGCCCACCGCCTAGCCTGGCAAACAGGGGTCAACAAATATCTGCTGAAAAAGGAGTGACTGTATTTCTCTTGCTGCTGCTATCCCTACAGCCAGTGAAGTGCTCTGGATTCAGGACCACTGGCAGCTGGGGTCCCAGAGGGGCCTCCCATTTGGGGG